TCTGTAGATTCTTTAGGAAAAACCAAGAGAAGACTTGTACTCAGGAGACCTGCTGCTAATTCTAGCACTCCTGTTTGAAGCAGTGTAGTTGTAGATTGAAGTGCTTATTTTGGGGTCTCAAGCTGGTACAAGGATTGAAAATGCTTCTAAAACTGTAGAAAGTAGTGTGAATGGCTGTTGCGTCAACTTGCACCTACAGAAGCCTGCATACTTGAAATTTCAAGAAGCAAATTGTGTAGGCAGTCCATTCCAGCCCCACTTCTTATCCCTCCCTGTGTTCTCAAAAAAACTGGAGGGCTGGGGATATAGCTCATTTGGTAGAATGCTTGCCTCGAATGCACAAGGCACATCCTGGGTTCAATCCCCAGCATGACCCCCTCCCCCCCCCCCCAAAAAAAGAAAGAAATTATTATTACTGGTACTGGGGATTGATTTAACATTTATGAATGTTAGTCAAGCATTCTACCACTTAGCTATATCCCCAGCCCTTTGGGACAAAAGATGAATTTCCTAGGCTGGCCTTGAACTTGGTGATCCTTCTGCCTTAGCCTTCTGAGTAGCTGAGATTAGAGGCATGTACTACCATGCCTGGTAAGAAAACTGGAATTTAATCTTAACTAGCTAAGCACTTTTTTAAAAAAATATTTTTTAATTTTAGGTGGATACAATATCTTTATTTTAGTGTGGTGCTGAGGATTGAACCCAGTGCCTCACGTGTGCTAGGCAAGCACTCGATATCACTTGAGCCACAACCCCAGCCCCTAAGCACTTCTTTTCATAGGATAAGTGCTATGAGTAGAGGATTGTTTTGACCAAGATTATGGCATCAAATAGATCACAGAACCAACAATATACTATAGAGGCAAAGGTGGAACTGTAAAACTAACATTTTACGATGTATTTGGGTCTAAGATATAAATTGCTCTGATGATCCACTATATACTCAGTGCCCATAAAGAACACAGGCCTGCCAAACATTAGTTCAACTGAACTGTGACAAATGTTAAGTGGTTTGTAAGTCTTTCCTACCCCTTCTGAGACCTTTAAAAAACTTAAGAATATAGGATTTGAACTTTTCATAAAGCTCTTTAGAGAAGCATAAACATTAACTGTTGCCATGTCAAGTGGAAATTGAAAATTACATTGTTTTGAGACCATAGTAGTGGAGGGGAATGTTCTTCAACTCTGCCCTTTGCCAGCAAGACTCAGACTCTATAGATAGGTTTGGACAATATGAAATAGAACAGGGATTTTAATGAGGAAGCAGAGCAACATCATGTAGCTTCTGAGTGCTATTAAATTTTCAAATAAAATATACAAATTGGAGTGAATATTGTAGAATGTAAAGAGCACTGGTTTGGGAGTTTGGACTTTTTATCTTACATAGCTTCAGTTTCTTTAAAGCCATATTCTTGGGGCTTGGGCTGGGGCTCAGCAGTAATGTATTTGCCTGGCATGTGTGAGGCACTGGGTTTGATTCTCAGCACTGCATATAAATAAATAAAGGTCTATCATCAACTAAAAAAAGTATTTAAAAAAATAATCTTAAAACAAATTATCTTTAAAACAAAATAAATAAAGCTATACTCTCAGAAAAGTGTGCCGTTAATAAGGGTGTAAGCAAGGGAAACCATACCATGACAAAATAATAAGCAGGCTCTGGAGATAGTATGAGCTAGGTCCTTGATGGTGGTAAACTAGTGGTAAGGAGAAGAGAAAGGGAGAGCACTTAGAGCAAAAGGCATAGGGTAGAAAGCAGGACATGCTTAAGTAGGAGAATAGAATAGCAAGGGAATACTGGAATGAATTTGAAGAGATCAGGAACCATGTTGTGAATAGAAGTGAACTAAAGGTATGATAAATTTAGGCAGGGAAGTGATTATCAGATTGTGATATTAATTTGCCCTTCCCCTCTTATTGTAAAAAACCTGCTTCCAGATATACAGTACAATATCCGCATGCTCATTGTTTTGTATAGACAATTCCACTTTGTATTGGCAGGGGTGGAACTGATTGAAGTACACAGGGGTTGTTCTACCAGTGTTATACCCCAGCCCTTTTGTTTTTAAATTTTGAGACAGGGTCTTGCTGTATTGCTAAGGCTGGCCTTGAACTTGCAATTTTCCTGCCTCAGTCTCCTGAGTAGCTGGGATTACACGCGTGTGCCATTGTACCCAGATGATATTTTTTTTGTTTTTTGGGGTACTCGGGATTGATCCTGGGGATGCTTAACCATTGAGTCATGTCCTCAGCTCTTTTAATTTTTTATTTTGAGATATAGTTTTGTGAAGCCACTTAAGGGCCTTGCTAAACTGCTGAGGCTGGCTTTGAATCTGTGATTCTGCTGCCTCAGCCTCCCGAGTTGCTGGAATTTCAGGCATGTGCCTCCATGCCTGGCAAAAAAAAAAAAATTACTATTTCTAATAGCCAGAGGTATTACGATCTTAACTCTTAAATCTTTTTGTATGTGTGTGTGTAAATATGTGTCTATGTATTTTTAAAGCTAAAGTGAGATCATACTACTTGATAACTTTTTTAAGTTGGTAAGTACCACCTTTCCCTCATAAATTTTCTGGGGCGGTGGTTAGGAATCAGTCTAATACCTATACTATATTGAGATTTTCCCAAGTAACCAAATGTGACAACTAGTTTGACCAATATACCCAATCTAGAAGTTGCATCTGTATGTTACTTTGCTCAAACTTACGGCATCTACTTGAAAAAAATGGAGTCAGTTGAACTAATAGCCCATGTGGAGGATGGATTAAAAGTAATATGACAACTAATTTGGTGAGAAATGATAACTGGACTAAGAGTGGTGGAAATGAGGTGAAGATGGATTTGAAATGCATTTTATGATATAATTTGATGATGGATCAGGGAGAAGGGCAACAGAGGAGTTAAGAATGACAAGTTTCTGGCTCAGGTATTTGGATGATATAGTCTTTCAATAGAACTGTGTACACTGGAGGAAAAAAAAATTAGACAAGTTGAATATGCTCATATTAGTAAGCCATTGACTCTGTATCTGAAGCTCAGATACTTAAAAATAATCATTACTTTATAATATGGCACACTTAGTGGAATGGGCTCAAGTCATTGTGCTTTAAAACAAATGTTATTGAAGGCTGGGCACAGTGGTGCACACCTGTAATCCCAGAGGCTTAGGGTGCTAAGGCAGGAGGATCACAAGTTCAAACCCATCCTCAGCAACTTTGTGAGACCCTGTTTTAGAATTAAAAAATAAAAGAGTTTGGAGTGGCTCAGTGGTTGAGTGTCTCTGGGTTCAGTCCCTGTTACCAAAAATAAAAATTAAAAATTGTTATTGGTAAAATTGGACATCATTATGGGGAAAGTTAGGTTTTCACTTTATACCACACTAAAAATTATGATTAACAATCTAACATAAATATTACAAAACTATTCTGAAAGTGGGGCTGGGGCTCAGTATCAGGGATTGAACCCAGGGGCACTCAACATTGAGCTACATCCCTAGCCCTTTTTATTTTTTGAGACTCTAAGTTGCTTAGAGCCTTGCTAGGTTGCTGAGGCTGCCTTTGAATTTGTGATACTACTGCCTCAGCCTCCCGAGCTGCTGGGATGAGCCACCATGCCTGGCTCCATAAGACTTTTAAACTTTGGTATAGAAAAAGTCAGTATAAGCAAAATTAGGTGATGGGAAGCTACAGATAGGGAAAAATATTCGTATCATACATGAACAGGTTGAGTTAATAACTCTGGTAGGTAAGATAATGGCTTCCCAAGATGTCCACATCCCAATCCCTAGAATCTGTGAATATATTACCTTACATATAAAGGTAGGAAGAGTATCCTGGACTCTCTAATCACAGGGGTCTTTAAAATGGAAGTGGGAGACAAAAGAGGCCAAAATAATGCAACGACTTTCCTCTATTACCTTTGAAGATAGAGGAAGGGTTGGGGGTCCAGTAGTCAGGCCTCTAGAGCCTGGGAAAGTGAAGGAATGAATCCTAGCTACATCCTACAGAAAGAAATGCAGCCCTGCTGACCACCCATCCCCCACCCCCATGGGCCCTGCCCCTTTTTTGAACCAGGGATTGAACCCAAGGGTGATTAACCAATAAGCCACATCCCTAGCCTCCCCACCCCCTCTTTTAAAAATTTTTTTTAGTCTCACTAAATTGCTTGGAGTCATTAAGTTGCTGAGGCTGGCTTTTAACTTGTGATCCTCCTGCCTCAGCTTCCTGAGCCACTGGGTTTACAGGCATGCACCACCATGCCTAGCTAACTCCTTGATTTTAGCCCTGTGAGACACATCAGACAGAATTCTGACAAAATTTCTTATTTTTTGGTGATTATTAGAGCAACAGAATAGAGACAATGTAGTATTCAAACAACTGCAATAGGAAAATAGGAGAGGGCTGTGAACAAGTTAGTAACTATAGAAGAAAAATCCTGATGGTTATTAAATGTGAAAAAGCTTTTTTTTTTTTTTTTTGGTGGCCTTGGGGATGGATGAGCTGACACAGGGAGAAAGGAGCAGGGCTGAGAAGAAATGATAAATTTATCATTGGATAAATTGTGGGTCAAGTGGATGAAGAAGGGAACCATACCCAGGACCAAGAACAACTTCCTAGACTCAGGCTAGTGCTCATGTAAATGGATATATTTTATGTTCACTTGTTGTGAAGTATTTTTCTTAAAGGGCAGCATTGTGCTGTATTTTCCTGGCCCTATATCCTCACTCGGTAGAGATGTGTGTATAACAGATGTGGTCATCTGTGAAATCTGGAAAAGAGTCTGCAGAATGCTGAGTTCTTTACCTCTGGGAACTGATCCTGAGGGAATATGGCAGCAGCAGAAGCTAGTAAGGAATTGATATTCCAGTAACCTTGACTCCAAAGAAGACATGAGTAGGATTTGTCTAGGTCAGCTAGTTTATTAGATTTTCTCCTCATCCTCCAACTATAGGTTGGCTATAGGTTATGAGGTACTGGGTGGCAGTACTACCAGTTTTTTCTCTATTGACAGGATTTAGTGGGCAGGGTTCCATGGATACCCAGAAATTTGTCTAAGACTCTTAGAAGACCCCTGGTTCGGGGAACCTGGGGTGTGGGGGATGGAAGATTCTTCTCCATGTGCACCCAAGGACAGTGTTCACAGTGACAAGGGTTCTGAATGTCACCAGCTACTCTCCCTGAACTTCGCTGATTCTGGGGACCTATAGCCTTGGGCAGAAGCTGGTGAGGGAGAGCAGTGCATTGAGAGCTCTGGCCCCTGCTCTGAGACCTTCGGGGAAATCTGCTTACAAGGGTCTCTGCTAGTCTGCAGGCCTGGGCAGGGTGGCTCTTCCCTGTGAGTGTGGATGAACCCAGTCTTGCATTCCCTCTTTCACATTCTCCTGGTTTGAATTTTCTGAGACTCTCTTTCTTTTTGGCTGAAGATAGGGCTGTAGCTTTGGCTTGTCTTTTGCCTGAGGCTAGAACCCCAGGGTTTGATAGCTTTCCCACACCTAGACAGTTCTCACCAGCCTGCATTTGACTATGTGGCCCCTGGGGTGAGACTTGGGCTACTATCTTATCTTTTATTTTCTCCTTTTTCTGAGACTTTTCTACTCTGCCAGAAGTTCGTGGCTGAGGCAGGAAAGAGGAGTGGGTGTGGTGACAGTGGAAGGACTGGACAGACTGAGACAGTGTGCTCTGAACTTTAGGGGGATTACAACTTAAAGAGTGGGGGTGTAGATTTGGGGAATTAGTTTGCTGTGGTGGGCAGGAAGAGAGTCCCCAGGAGTCTAGAGTTATGGAACTCAGGACAGGGGAGCTGAAAGATGGGCTCTGCTGCAGTTTCTTCAGCCTGAGTTCTAACTCTCTACTCCATTGCCAGGCATGGATCCCAGGGTTGGTGAGCATTTCTGGGATAGCCTTATCTTGGGAGGATGGGGCCTCTGCCTTAGCTCCTGAGAACATCTCTCCCTTCTGTAGGCTAGGCTGGGTGGGCTCAATCTTTTGAGCTTCAGCTAGGTTGGGAGGCCAGGATATTGGATGCAGGGGATCCACTACTGGTGGGCTGGGACCCTGGGGAGCCTCCCTCGGTTGCACATTTCTGCACATAAATTCAAGGTCAGTATGTGGTTCTTGTAAAGGAGCAGAGAGAGAGCTGAGGGCTGGGAGCTGAGTGACCCCACAGTTCTCTCTCTCTTTCACTTCTTCCCTCACAAGCTTATATTTGCATTGGTCTCCAAAAGGCTCATTTTTTGGGGACTTGGAAAGAGAGTTTGTGGGTAGGTTGGGGCCCCAAACTACAGAAACATAACAATTTTCTTTCTGCTCCATGTTCTCCCTAATAGGTTCAGAGTCAGTCAGAACTCCTAGGGGACTGGCTCCATGCAGATCTTGGGGTATGCTGCGAGCTGGAAGCTCAGAGGCCCAGAAGTTATTTTTTCTTTGTGTGTCCCCACATCTAACTTCAGAACCAAATAGGATTTCCACGGAGCTATCTCTGAGGGGCTTTAGTACAAGAGTTGAGAGTGGGCCAGAGGCAAGAGATGGGGGCTCAGAATCCCAGGAATTTCTGGAATGCTCCATGTCCTTCCATGTAGCTTCTGATCTAGGGAGGCCATTCACAGTATTGATTTTGTATAGTTCTATAAAGGGGGTTAGAGATGTTGTATGGGTAGGGTCTAGGGTATCAGACACCCAGAGATTCTCCCTTTGCCCCTTGGTCTCCTGAAAAGCTTTGGACTCCAACAGGACTTCCTGGAAGCTCATTACTAAAGATTCCATCAGAGAGGCTGAGGGAAGCCTGGGAGATGAAACTGGGTCTGCAGAAACCCCAAAATGTTCTCTATTCTGCGTGCCCCTCAATGGAGTCTTATGTCCTGAGGGGACATATGCAGAACTGCTTTCAGAGAGTCTTGGCCGGAGGTCCACACATGGAGGTTCAAAGGCCCAGGGATTTCCTGAGTTTTCTGTGCATCTCAACTGTGGCTCATATCCAGATAGGTCTTCTAGGACACTGTTTTTATCGAGTTGTGACAGGGAGTCTAGGGGAGGGCAAGGGGCTGGCATTGGAGATTTAGTGACTTGAGGATTCTCTCTGTATCCCATGGTTCCCCAGAAGTCCTTAGGCCTAGATAGTCCTTGTTTAGGGCTTACTTTTGGGGGTCCTGACAGAGAAACTGGGGGTTGACAGGAGGCTGGTCTTGGGGGTTCAGAAACTTGGGGGCTGTCTTTATGGCCTGTGGTTCCCCACTGAGCTTCATATTGAGGTGCAACTCCTGGAGGGCTAGTTCCTTGAGCTTCCATCATGGGTGTTGTAGTTTGGTAAAAAGCCAGGTTTGGGGGCTCAGAGATCTGATAGTTCTCTTTTAGCTCTGTGGTTTCCCAGAGGGACTTAGATCTAGTCAGGCCTACTATGGGGCTAGCTGACTGGAGTTCTGTCAGGGAAGCTAGGGTTGGGCTAGGAGCTGACATTGCTGGCTCAGAGGCTTTCAGGTTCTCAGTTTGTCCCATGGTCCTACATGGGGCCTCAAACCTAGTTAGGACTTCCAAAGGTCTAGAGGCGTAGAGCAGAGAGGTAGAGAGTGACTCTGGGTTGGGTTGATGGAGGTTGAAGTCCCTTGGCACCCCCCGCCAGGCCTCGGATGAGGATGAGAACTTAGAGGTTCTGATTCTTTGGAGTTCAGACTGTGGGTGCAGCACTTGATCCCCAGAGACCCAAGGAACCTCTTTATGCTGTGCAAGCCACTGTGTGTGGGCCTTAGCACCAGATAAGACTTGCTTGTGATTCATAGGCAAGGGCTTAAGGTGGAGGGATGATGATGGGACAGGAGAGGAGGATGGAGATGGAACTAACTGAGGATTAGAGGTCATTCTTTCCAAATATTCTGTTGTATGAGCTTCATGAGTAAGAAGCTGGGTTGGGGAAAAATAATGGGGAAGCAGCAAGTTATACCTAGACAGGAAGGCAAGCTTGTTGAAGAAAATAGAAGGATAAACAGATATCTTCAGGGAGGAGGGGCCATCTGGGCTCAGGAAGATGGTGTCCAAGGACTCACTGTGCAGAGCAGGGAGACCCCAGAATAGCTGGCTTTTTCTCTGCTGCAGGCAGCCCCCCAATGTTGTCTTGTTCTTCACCTGCAGGTTGGTCAGGATCTGGAAGGTAGGGAAGGATCTGAAGGGGTTTTTGAGTGATGTAAGTATTTGTTCTGGTGTCCCTGTGGCCTTAGGGAGGCTCTTGGAACAATAGAGTGGCTTGGGTGGGGCTTGGCTGCCTTGCTCTCCAATGGGATCATCTTTGGTAGGAGAATGTGATTTCAACGAATTCATAGATGATGACTTTTCTTCCTTTTTTCCTTCTTCTTCCATTTCTTCCCCCTCTTCTTCCTCTTCCTCCTCTGATTTTTGCCTCCATGAGCCAAAGAAGTCCAGAAGGGGTAGGCCCTAAGGTGTAGAGAAAGATATTATCAGACACAAAGCCTTCTTGAAGATACAAGCTGTGTCATGAAGTCCTCAGTTTCTGCTCTACATGAAGAGTGAACAGTTAACTCATCTGGTCCCACATATGTGGTTAGTAGTCACTCACCCAATTCCTCATCCAGTGTTAAAAGTCATAACTGAGTCCTCATTTTGAGATCACCCTACATCTGGAGTCAGTGACCATTCATCAGGCTTCAAATCTCATGTCAGTGGACATTCAGCCTAACTGAGTCCTCATTTTGAGATCACCATTTCCTCAGATAACCCTACATCTGGAGTCAGTGATCATTCATCAGGCTTCAAATCTCATGTCAATGGACATTCAGCCTCAAATCTAGGCTTTATCATCATCCATCTGGGGCCACACACACATACTAGTGATTCCTCACCTAACCTCACATGTAGTGTCAATAGTTATTAATCGAGCTGCACTTCCATGTTCAGAAGTCACCCACCTTGCCTTGAATGATGTCCCCAGAGCACCAGGGCTGAAGCTGTTGCCAGCTCCCAAGGTACCACCATCTCCGGAACTGCCAAACCATGAACAAGCATAGTATCACCAGATTCCCTGGACTCTGAAGGCAGCAGCTGCCACAGTGTCTGCAAGTCAGAGCTTGGGTCAGCTGACCCCAGAGAATACCCATTTCTCCCTTAACCCAAGTCAGGTCTTCTTGCAGCCATTGCATTTTCCTCAGCCTAATGGCAGTTTACTCTGAGGTCATCATTGCATCACAGAACAAAGAATTCCCATCCCCCATATGGGATGAGGCCTAACAGCCTTCTTCCAGAATTTAGGGTCAAAAAATTATCTCTATGAAGGTAACTCATCCTTCATACAGGGCAATTTGGGTGATCCCCTTTTGTCAAGGCCAGAATATGCCTTAGGTATTATGAATAAGGACATGGATTCTAGCATGAAACTATCATATTCAAATCCTAACTGTGACATCTTACCTGAGAAACCTCAAACTGTTTAATTTTTTAGTACCTCAGTTTTCTCATCTATAAAATGGGGATAATATTATTACTTATTATAGTTTCTTTTTGAGGATTAAATGAATAAATACATGTGCTTAGAATAATATCTGGTGTCTAGTATATGCTGTATTTAAATTTCCTTCCTTACTTACTGGGGATTGAACCCAGAGATGCTAAATCCCAGTCCCCTCCCTTTTTTTTAATTCACTTTTTTTAAAAAAAGTTAACCTTTATTTTATTTATTTGTCTTAATGTGGTGCTGAGGATTGAACTCAGTACCTCACTCATGCTAGGCAAGCACTCTACCACTGAGCTACAACCCCAGTCTTCCCCAATCTTTTTTACTTTTTATTTTGAGAAAGGGTGTCACTAAATTGCTGAATCTGGCCTTGAGCTTGCCATGCTCCTGCCTCAGCTTTTTATTTCTTTTAAGGTTCCTGATGACAAGCCTCATTTCATCTTTTTTTTTTTTTTTTTTTGGTACTTGGGATTGAACCCAGGAGTACTCTACCACTCTATTGAGCTATACCTCCAGCTCTTTTTTATTTTGAAAGAGGGTATCTCTAAGTTGCTTTGTCTGGCTTCGAATTTGGGGTCCTCCTGCCTCTGCCTCCCAAGTCACTTGGATTAAAGGCATGCACCATCATGCCCAGCTCATATTATCATAAATCAATGTATTTTATTTAGAGACCGGGTCTCACTGAGTTGCTAAGTACCTCATTGTTGCTGAGGCTGGCTTTGTACTCGTGATCTTCCTGCTTCAGCCTCCTGAGCCACTGGGATTATAGGTGTGTGCCACCGTATCCAGCCCCTTTTTTTTTTTTTTTGGTACTGGGAATTGAACCCAGAGGTGCTTTACCATTGAATTGCACAACTACACTCCCAGTCCTTTTTTTTTAAATGTTTTATTTCAAGACAGGATCTTGCTAAGTTGCTTAGGGCTTTGCAACATTGCTCAGGCTGGCTTCAAACTTGTAATCCTCCTGCATCAGCCTCCTAAGTACCTGGGATTACAGGTGTGCACCACCATGTCCAGCTCTTGCTCCAGTTTTTACCATATTCTTGCCATGGTTAATGCCAAGGCTAAGGTCTGTTTGCTGTTTATCATTGTGACTATAATTTTGTTTTCTTTTTTTAATTGCTTTTGTTTTTTAAATATATGACAACGGAATGCATCACAATTCTTATTACACATATAGAACACAATTTTTCATATCTCTGTTTGTATATAAAGTATGTTCACACCAACTCATGTCTTCATACATGTACTTTGGATAATGGTGTCCATCACATTCCACCATCATTGCTAACCCCCTGGCCCCTTCCTTCTTCTCCCACCTCTCTGCCCTATCTAGAGTTTATCTATTCCTCCCATGCTCCCTCTTCCTACACCACTATGAGTCAGTCACCTTATATCAGAGAAAACATTCACCATTTGTTTTTTTGGGGGGATTGGCTTACTTCACTTAGCATTATCTTCTCCAACGCCATCCATTTACCTACAAATGCCATGATTTTATTCTCTTTTATTGCTGAGTAATATTCCATTGTGTATATATGCCACATTTTTAAAATCCATTTATCTACTGAAGGGCATCTTCAGTAGATAAATAGCTAATCTGGTTCCATAGATTAACTATTGTGAATTGTGCTGCTATAAACATTGATGTGACTGTGTCCCTGTAGTATGCTGTTTTTAAGTCCTTAGGGTATAGACTGAGGAGTGGGATAGCTGGGTCAAATGGTGGTTCCATTCCAGATTTTCCGAGGAATCTCCATACAGCTTTCCATATTGGCTGCACCAATTTGCAGTCCCCCTAGCAATGTATGAGTGTGCCTTTTTCCCCACATCCTCGCCAATATTTATGATTGTTTGTCTTCATAATAGCTGCCATTCTATCTAGAGTGAGATGGTATCTTAGAATAGTTTTGATTTTCATTTCTCTAATTGCTAGAGATGAAGAACATTTTTTATGATTTTGTTAATTGATTAAATATCCTCTTCTGGGAAGTGTCTGTTTATGTCCTTGGCCCATTTGTTGAATGGGTTATTTGGGTTTTTTTAGTGTTTAGCTTTTTGAATTCTTTATATACCCTAGAGATTAGTGCTCTATCTGATGTGTGAGAGGTAAAAATTTGCTCCCAAGATGTAGGCTCTCTGTTCACCTCACAGATTGTTTCTTTTGCTGAGAAGAAACTTTTTAGTTTGAGTCCATCCCACTTATTGATTCTTGGTTTTAATTCTTGTGCTATAGGAGTTTTATTAAGGAAGTTGGGGCCTTTATTTTGTTTTCTTACAACTTGTCCATTTTTACTCATTTGCATTACATGCCTGATGTTTGAGTTTGTAACCACTGGGTGAAGAAGGTAAGTTGAGTCCTGAGAGAAAATACAAAAGACAATATTAGATACTTATTCTGTGCTTGTTAATTTATATTTTTGCCAAAATAATTTACCAAGTTATTAATTTCTGTCTTCTACTCCTTGCCAGTAGAATAAAAAGGTAACTATGCTCTCCTTCCAGGAATTCTATATTTCTTGTTCCATGGAATTGTTTATGTTTGTGTTTCTGGTCATAAACAGGACTTGGAAAACACCTGTTCTACAACATTACCCAGGCTCTTGTTTGGGAGGGGAATTTAATTTAGTTGGGTAATTTTTTTTTTTTTACGGGTCGGGGGAGTACTGGTGTTTGAACTCAGGGGCACTCAACCACGGAACCGCATCCCCAGTTCTTTTTTGTATTTAGAGACAGTCTCATTGAGTTGCTTAGCACCTCACTTTTGCTGATGCTGGCTTTGAACTCGTGATCCTCCTCCTCAGCTTCTCGAGCCTCTGGGATTATAGGCATGTGCCACTGCACCTAGCTACCTGGGTATTTTTAAGGAGAAGATGGAAGAGGTACTGGGTTGAAAGAAGAGGAGTTGGTCAAGTATAGTGGTGGACCCAAGAATTTCAGAAAAGAGATGTAGTGATGGATGACACTGAGTCTTGAGGTACAGAGGCAGAGCCATGTGTCTGCCCTGAAGACCCACGATGTCATCTCTGGAGGCCTATTTAGCAGACATGATAGGCTGTAGACTTCTAGAAGGGAAGAACATCTGAGGCAACTGTCCTGAAATCTCACATATTAGTGCATTACTTTGTTTTTTGAGGGGCTCTTGGTGATTGGAAATCCTGTTGTTTCTTTTAAAGTTTTTCCAATTTTAATAGTATTATACATTGACTTGGGAAGATATGCAAAGGTAGAAGGGCGAATTCCCACCAACTTCTAATTTCAAAATAATTTATATAGCAATTTGTATTTATTTGTATTTATTTCCAGATTTTACCATTCATATCTTTATATTGTCTAAATAATGTGTAGATTTTTTAAAAGGTAAGAAAGTAATTAATAATTTATCATAAATCTTTTCTATGCACTGTACCTTCTTCCTAAGTATAATTTTTTAAAATAATTATTTAGCTGTTGATAGACCTTTATTTTATTTATTTATATGAGATACTGAGAATCAAACCCAGTGCCTCATACATGCTAGGCAAGTGCATTACTGCTGAGCCATAGCCCCAACCCACCCTAAGTATAATTTTTAATGACTATGATCTTCTCTGAAGTAGATATACTACATTAATTTAACCATTCTATTATTCTTTTAGATGGTTTTCAATTTTATGAAACTATATATATGTTTAATATGGATTTATAGTTGTATTTGCCTATAAACTGTCTTTTAAGAAGCCATAAAACTTATAAAAAATTTCATATGATTTCCTAACTCTGAGTTCCACACTTGGGTCACTGTGCTTCTCTCTCCTTGGGTGAGTTAGCTAACGTATGGGTTATTTTAGCAATAACTTATCCTTTGAGTTTAAATCTAACAAATCCAATTGCTTGTTAAACATCTGCAAGCTTGATTTTCCACAAGGACCTCAGGCCTAACATCTTCATAATTTAGTGCATTATTTTATTCTATCCCATTCTACTCTTCCTGTTGTATTCCCCAGATCAGTTAGTATCATTTAGTTGTAAGCAAGAAACATTGGAGCCCTTCTAATACTCGCCAGCTTTTGCCAATTTTGTCTATTGTTTCTCAAATCTCTTTACTCTTCAGATTTACTGTCACTTTGGTAATTCAGATCTTTATTATTTCTACCATATACTAGCCTCCTAGATAATCTTCACTCCTCTAGCTTTGCCCATCTTAAATTCTTTCCCCTTGCTACTATTAAAAACAAAACTGACTGTGATATTCCCTCCTTAAAATCCTTCAGTGAGGTCATATTTCCTACATAGTCTACAGAGCCCTCCACCTGCTGATTTCCCTGTACTTCTTCAGCTTCTTTTACCCTTCCATGCATTTATTGTTCTAATAATAGAAATTCTTGTAGTTTTCCTTGATTGCCTCATACTGTTCAATGCTTCCATATCATTGCCCATCATGATTTTGATTTCTCAGTTTGGAATGCCCTCATCCTTTTTTTCTACCCAGATAATTCTTATCCCAATTCAGGCATTATTTCCTTAGGGTACTTACCCTGAAGGTCCAACTTGGTCCAAATGTTCTTTCTTTTTGCACTACATAGTGCTTAACTCTTCAGGTGAAACCGTTAAACATAGTTACTTTATATACTATTTTTTATCATTTTAGTATCTGCAGTCTATGTATGCCTTCTTTTTCAGTTTGTAGTCCCTCTTTTTTGGGGGGTA